CTTTTCTCCAGTCATTGCGACCCTCCCGCAATTTCCTTTCAAAGATGACAGAGTCTTGCTCTTACTTCAGCCAGCTGTCACCACCCTTGAAAGCAGCCTAATTGGACCCAAAATCACTTGTCCCACTCAGCAATCATCCCACATGTCCTTGTTCGGCCTTTTGCTACTACTGTAGCAGTAGAAGTTCTTCTTGTTGCCCTTGACATCCTGGCCTGTTTCAACTGTAGGTGAGTTTTTATTCTCCTAAGACAATCCCTACATGCTTGAGCAATGTTTCTAGATTCCTTCTTTGCAGCCTATTGCTCATTTTACCTCCTGTATTACTGTCTTTTTGCACTGGAGTGCTGTTGTAAGTTCGCTGTTTAGCCAAGCCAGTCTCCTGATAGATCTACTTGTTTTCCTGAGTATCGGGAAGGACTGTTTTTATGATTGGAGGAGGTTGTCCTTAAAGACCTGCTGCCAGCTTTCCTGAGCCCCTTTGCCCTTCAAAGCTGCCTCCCATGGGATCCTGCCTACCAGTTCTCTGAATAAACCAGTCTTTCTCCTGAAGCCCAGGGGCTGTACTCTGCTATTCATCTTCCTCACGCACCTCTCAGCATCTTGAACTCCACTACAGTTGAGGTTACCACTGATCATCACGTGCCAAACCATTTCTTCCTTATGTGTGAACAGTAAAGGCAGAACTGCTGCATCTCCATTTCAGTTTAGAAGTGTATTGACTGGCTACATGGACGTAGCTTAGTTGTGGGATGCTTATTCCATCCGGTTCCACACTGGATAAGTGCATTGTTTTGAGATCAAATCTAGCCTGGAACTATTTTGGCCTCACTTCTCACAGTGCTGTGTGTGCCATGGCAGCTTTGGGCTGTCTGCATTCATCACACAGGTAAGCTGCTGCCTGGATAACGCAGCTGTGCATAACCAGGAGTTAAATACACATGAAATTAGGAGTCTTAGTCATTCACTCTTCCTTTAGATTTTTTCCTCCTATTTGCTTTTCTAGTTATGGCTTTATTCCTTCTCATCAGATGTCTTCCCGCAAAATTTGTCGCTCTGTCAGTGTGCCAGGACAAAGAGAAAGGAATTAAAATACCCTAGTCTCTTGACAAGCTGCTTTACGTAGTGATTATGTGTTTGTTCTGCTGGTAGCGTTCATGGGGCAACAGTGGAATAGTTGATGGCCTCAAGACTTCCACAGACTTAGAGTGAAAAAAAATCCTGGAAGTTTTAATTTTCTGTTGTGTGATTTGTACAAATGAACAAAATAAATGAAATTGGCTAAGAAAAAGAAAAACTATCATTTGTTGCCATGTAGTCGTATGAAGTATTGATTAGAGAAATTACTGAAAGGCTAGGAACATGCGGGGTAGTCAAATAGGGCAGACTCATTAAAATCTTTCCAGCACTTCTAGAACTTATGCATGTGATACTAGCTGTGGTGTTTTATAATCTCATAATTGTATTAACCTTCCTCCTGTCTCTGCATAGGCTTTGCATATTTTAAAGCAGCCACATTTTAATAAAACATCAACATATTACTGTGACATGTTAAAACAAAACAGAAAAAGTCAGATGGCTGGGACATTGCTCTGAAAACAAGCCAGGCGAGTCTTGTAAGATATGATTGAACAGTATGTTTGATGCCTGACTGTACTGGGTCAGCATAGCATTAATAGGATAAAACTAAAGGGACTATTATTAGTGACTCAAATTCAAAATTTTCATATATCAGTCTCATCCAAGTACATTTTTCTGCAACACTTTAAGTCTGACATGACTAAGTTTTACTAGATCTGGTTTAACTGACTTAGTATGATCATTTTCTCTTGAAAGGTGCTTGACATAGCTAATAGAGCTGTCTTGGAAAAATAAGTTAATCTCTGGATAAGAAATATTTCTGCTTAATACAGCATGCAATGAATATAAAGAGTGTGCTTTTAATTTAGCAAGTTCACAAATTAATAGTTACTCTTACAAGGGAAGTTAGGTTTGTTACTTTCATCAGTGTTACCACTGTACACTAAACATATTCTGCTGTAGCCCTCAATTTAACTTTGTCTGATTATGAAAGTATGTATTTTTCCTTAAGCCATTTGTAACACTTATTTAAATGCTAATATTTAAAATTACATAATTGAAGCCATTCTATCTCATTACTTATTTAAGAGGATGTTTTTATATATCCCTAATTTTATACTTTCTCCTAGCAAAAGGGATGTACAAGTAGCAATTGTTTCTGCGTAAACAGGTCTTTGAGGTTTAAGATTATTCCCTTTGTGTGCATCCCAAAAGTTCCAGCACCAGGCTTGTGTTGTTCCAGATTATTTGATGGCAGATGTCAAAATCCCAGGTCTCTATAAGTGTACTTCTTGCAACAAAACTAGCACAAAGAATATGCAGAAATTAAACCAGGAGTAAGAAGTCCCTTACAAGAGATCTCAGAAGAGAATCTCCCCGCTAGATCTGGAGTTCAAGCACTAGTTTTCTTTAGATTGTGTTCCTTTGCAATCCTAGCGTAAGCCTCTAGCTATAATCTAATTAACTGTCAGATAGCTGGATGCTTACACTGCAAGTTATTCACTTATTCAAAGACTACTTTCTCAGAAGAACAGAGGCACCTGTCTTTGTGACACAAGCTGCGAAAGTTTTCTTGTTATAATCCTTTGCTTATCGTCAGTTCTACAGGCTTAACAGATGATAGGAACACAGCCTCAAATACCTTTTTTCATCCAGCAGTTAGTCTGTCATATCTCTTATTACTCTTACTCAGAAACGTGGACTTTTTTAGGTGTATGTAACTGAGGGGCAATGTAGAAAAATCCAATTTACATTGGAAGTTGAGGCTTTTTGGGAAGGAAAGCCAATGAAAGGATACGTGTTATTGAAAGTTATATATACACACAACAGATTTTGGGTTTGTTAGCATAAATTTCCATTTTATATTAAGACTAGACTCCTTTCTAGGATTTCTTCAGAGGAAAAGAAGTATTTTGTCAGGTTTATAGTGCATTAAAATACACACAAGGAAAGAAACAGGTTCACAATATAAAATCTTCAGTAGTAACTCCAGTTTTGTTGATGTATTTTTCTTTACCAAATTCCTCTATAGCATATACAAAAACAGCAGAATAAGTAAGAGCCTTTAAGTATCAGTTCAAGAAGAAAACAGTCTTGTCTGGAGTACATTTCATCTGCTTTAACATCATCATTTAAACAGTCTGTATTAAGAACCAAAAAGCCAGAGTAATACAGAATCAAATACTTGGGACATTGAAACAATCTTTTTTTCTTAGGTAATATTCAGTAATAAACACTTATAAAAACACATTTCCCATAATTAACATAGTTTTTAATATATGGACTGGTGTCATAAGTAGTCTAAAACAGAGGTTCTTCGTTGAGCAATTTTCGCTGGGCTTTTTATGCCACTGAAAAAAATCTGTAGAGGGGCATAAAATTCATGACCAGCAAATACCCCCGTGGATAAACCTCCTTCAAGCAGCCATTTTTCTTACAACACTATTACACCATCAATAGCTTGTTGTTCAAGAACACAATTTACTACCAGAGTAAGTGTCTCGGGAAACCGGTGCCATCATGTTTGTGTATCAGTTCCCGATTGTCTGCAAAGATGACCAAGGTAGCTGGAATGGTTTCAAGTAGGTAGTTGATGGCAACGTTAGTCAACTGATTGGTGTACCCATTCCTCCATTTAGTGTGCTTTACTTCTTGTAACTTGCAGAAACAAGTAATTATTTTCCTGTTGCAAAATAATTATTACTGCTGCACATTCAGATTTTTTTTTTTTACATTTAATTATTGTTACATATACCAAGGCTTTCAGTTCAAGGACATACAAGGTCTTAATTTATAGAATTATAATTTGTGTTTTTGTAAGTTACATCATGGCTATACACTTCAGCCATATCTACACTACAAACTTTGGCCAACAATCAGGGAGAATAGGTATGATCCTCATAAGTACCACACTGCACATACAGACTGCTGTAAATGCCATTATACTGGGGGAAGAAAAAAACCCAACTCCCCTCTTCCTGCAGAAACACGCTTACAGTTTTGCTGGTATGAGTTACATCCACACCAGGAGTACTCTGCCAGTATCACATGCTAGCATGGTTACACCGGCAGTGCTCCTAGAGTTCCTGTAGCTTCAATCCAACTTCTATTTCCCTTTATTTTTTTTCTTTTTCTTCCCTTCTCTCCTTCCTTTCAATTGTTGTGGTTGCACAGCTCCTTTATTTTTTTCATCTTCAAAGCAGCATATCACATGTTTTCACAAAAGGAAGTATTCAAAATGGTAATTTAAAAAAGTTTATTACATCAGTGAATCAGCAAATAGTATTTATTTCAAACAAAGCCACATTGTCTTTTTTTCTTCTTTCATCTAGATTTAGCTGTACTCAATAGTAGTAAAAATGGGACTCTAAAATGTAGAATGGAGATGAAATGAAAAAGTTGAGACGTAACTGGATTTATGGAAATGGTAATCAAATGCACTTAGATGGGATGAGCAATGGAAATGCTCAGACTTTCTCTCTACTGGTATTATTTCAACCCACCAGATGATTTTCAGTTTAATAATAAATACTCAGTCCAGCCTCAAAATAATGAAGTTTTAGAATCCCTCATTAAGTTTGCCTAAAAGTGGAAAAATTCTACTGGAGCGTCATGTAGCCTTGAGATGCATTTCAGTGCAAAAAACGTTTTAAAAGTTCTAACAATTTAGGAATCTAACTGTAAGTATTCTCCAATAATGATCTTTGCAAATTTCAAATCCATGAGCTTACTTCAAGAAAGCAGTCAGATATGTGGAAATCTTAAGTCAATCCAGAATATCAACAAGACAGTAAGTTTCCTTGGCTTTTAATTTCTTCATTAGTTTAAGATCCAAGGAACTGTGGGTTTTGTTCACTTGGTAGGGAAAAAAAAAAAAAGTTACTTTTAAACTCTAATTTACCAAAAAAATAAAAGCCCAGAGATTTGCAGACATAATAAAATTTATTTAAATTCCATGCATTACGGTAGCTACAAGTGTAGTCATATGAAACTGAAGGACAATAACTTCTTCTGTCCATACAATGTAGCTGTAAGTGAAATGAATGGGAGTTCCACAGTTACAAAGAAACAAACAAAACCAAAAAAAAAAATCCCAAAAAGGTAAATCTGTTTCAGTTTTGAGTTATCTGTGAATTCAAATACAGTCACTAGACTGTAAACTTTTGGGGGAGGAGATGGGCTCGCCACAATTGTACAACTGAAAATGTTTAGTTTAAGACATTCTGAAGAAGCTCTGAAGATACCTTTTAATACTTATTACTAATACTCTGGGAAATGAAAAAAAAATCTGTTAGCCTTCATCCTAATTGTTAGAATCAGGATAGCAATTGTAGACACTCCACTTTCAAAGTGCAGCTAAATAGGGGTTTATTATGCAGCTCCTTCAAGTTGTACTGAGTAAGCTTATTTTGAACCAGTTTTGCTTTAATTTCTCAAGAAAGACTTCACTGGTCCTCATAGGCTTACATTGCTTTTTGATATGCAAAAATTTACAGACTGTGCTTGATTCTGACCCTCCCATTTCAGTATGTGCAAACTCTTAGGGATTTAAATAGTCTCTCCCCCTCAGTTCAGACTGATCTTTAAAACAGCAAGGATTATCCAGCCCTCTAAATTAAAGACAGGGTGAACTGAGTAACTTACATAACTGGCACTTTTTAATTGGCCCAGTTCTCCCACAAAATGCAGCTCTTATAAATACTAATAGGCACTATTGCCACAAATTCTCTTATTTTTGGAAGTTTCACTGATTTACTGGTTGTTAGCATTTTCTGCAGTTAAGAATTTAATAATGCTGAATTTTTATAAAGACACAATACGTAGTTCTAGCCTTCAAAATTGACTTACTGTGTCTAGTAATGATGTTAAGTCAACCTAAATTTGCTGAAGATATTAACAAATGTAAAGCTAATGAAGGTGCCACATTTGCATGAATGTTTTTTAATTTTAAGAATGCATTCAACAAGGGAAGGGGCAAACCTAATTATTTTAATACAAACTTGGTTGAGTGCCCAATTGCCTCATTTAAAACTGTGTGTGTGGGGAGGCTGAGGAGTTTAGAAAAGTCGAAGTAACCAAATATCTAGGTTACTGGAAAGTTAAAAAGCTAATGCAACTGCGTTACATCCGGATAAAAAACATTATTCAAAAGCAATTCAAATACCGAAAAAGATTTCAAATTGAATAGTTTATTAACATGGTAGTCATCTTTGTAACATGTGCACACACACTCGCACACTCTGAATGATCTGCCTGGAAAAAAAGAGGTCTTAATATATATGCTGGGGAAATTAAACATTAAAAATCCTTTAGATTTTCATAATTATAGGCAATTATGTCCACATCACTTACAAAGCTATTGCCGAATCTTTCCAAGGAAGCAGAATTTGGGAGAAAAAAAAATTCTTTTTGGGAAAATTCAACAGTGGCATAGCAGAGCTCTCAATATGAGAAAGCTGACATAATGTGGACCTTTGCTGTGAAATTTGTCTTTGCAAAATATGGGGAGAAGTTTATCAATGGGCAGAAAATAAGAAGGCGGTGTGAAGTAGGCTTTTGCAGAGTCGATTTTCCTCACAGTATTGTGCGGGGTCATTGAGAAAAATGCTTAGTCCTTCTCTGGAACCAGTTTCAGAACTTTTCCAATTGCAATGGTCTTACCTAAACCAAGGAGACAAACAGTAGAGTTACATACATTGTGAAAAGAATGTATAAGTCTCTAACAACGTGAAAACTTTCCCCAAAAACACAGGCTCTCCAGAGTATTAGAAATAATACAGAGAATAAATTGTTGTATTGTAGAACAAAAGCACCAGTGTATTTTAAAAACAATAAAATCTTAAAAATACTAAAACTGCTATTCTCACAGTAAAGAATACAATGTGGATTGTGGAAAGCCTGCTCTATAAGTCATCTACGGAGAAGGCAAGGCAGAATCATTCTACCAGATCTATTTACTGCTTTTAAAGATAATGTATTTTAAATACATCCCACAAATCTGAGTTTTACCAGGGTGAGCATGAGTTAAAGCCCAACATACAATCCCCCCTTATCTTTTCTAACATTAGATAAAGAAACTATGGTTTTCATATTGTAGGTGGACATTCCACGATGCATTAAGAAAACAGTGCTGGTAATTTTTCAAATTCAACCTTTTGTTTCACAGTGCACATTTTTGTACATTATTCCTCTAAAATAAAACACATTTTGTTACTAGCAAGAATTCTGCACAATGACAACAATTCACTTAAATTTACTTTTCCATTGTTACCCAGACAGTGATTTCCACCAGATACCAACATTTTAATACCTCATTGCCATGCATGACCTCCTATTTCAAATAACTGTATTTTGCAGCAGTTAATAACTGTTGATCAAGCAGTCTTACCCTCATCTCTTAAGGTAAAGCGACCCATCTGAGGGAAATCTTTGAATGTCTCAAGGCAGATAGTTCCTGCTGTCCTTAAACGGGCAATGCATACTTGATCTTGTTTCACAAAACGGGGCCGTGTCTTACTTTTTTCTCCTGTTTTTTTGTCTACCAAGCAGATTAAGGCCTGTATAAGAAAAAAATTAATAGCTATGAGTGCTAAAATAACGGTTATTTTTCCTTTACGAACAAAACTGAAGTGGTCTAAGAAAGAAAATACTTAGAAATAAATTAAAAAAAAAAACTTCTAAGATTTACTGCATAAGAGAGTCAATCATGACTTACCACACCTTTCAGAAGGCTTATGCTAACAGTTACAGCCATTTTTGGATCTTACGGTACTGACCAAAGATTCCATTCCAGGCTGGAGCTTTGTTGCATTAGTTGCTCTACAGATGTACGTCATGACAGAACTCCTCACCCTAACAAGTGGATTGTCTATATTCACATCACAACTTAAAAGGACACTTACTGTTATCTCAACTTCTTCAATACAGGTGTGAATGTGCAGCACAGCATTATAACCTGGGCAGATAATGGATTTGTGCTCAATTATCACTATCTGTAAAACAATTAAAAATAAGTGCATTTTTCCTCATTTCAATTATAAAAGAGCACAGAATAACCAAATACAGAACTATATTAAAATGTATAGTTGAATAATACACACACAACAAATTTTTGTGGAAGAAACAAAATTTATAAGCACCTAAGTTGTTTATAATATGAAAGTATAAAATTGAAGAATTGGCCTGACAAGATCTTGCTTTCATGATAAGTATCTAAAACTTCATTGAGAAGTTACATTCAAAACAAACGATATTTTAAAAACTCAAATTAATGATGTCAGTGTGTTAGGTATATATGTTATTGTCAATTTAGAGATATGATAGTGAATAAGAAATCTGAACTGAAACTTCAAACTACAGAAGTTTCGATTTAGTGAAACACAAGCAAAATATTTTAATGCTTTTTACCCATCTATACAGCAATTAAATGCTAGTTATTCTACCTGGGCATCAAACGTGCGTCCAGAGTGACACAGGTTGTTGGGATCACAAAGAATAAATCCTGGAAGGATCTCTTCCTCTTCAATTCCCTTCAGTCTGATCTTTAGATTTTCACCTGGGGCTACTGAATCAGTTTCTACATCATCAGAAAGGATTCCAAGAACTTCCACATTGTGCTTAAAGAAAGCAAAAATGCAGTCTCTTGTGAATACTTTAGTCTGGTACAAAATCATTTTAATACAATAGGATTTAAATAAATAATTCCATTACAGTTTAAATTCATTATATGTGGTTCTACAAGCTTGAGAACATTTAAAATATTTGAATGGTGAGTTACTAATATTTAAAATTGCATATTTAATGAAAAACATCTTCTAATATAATTCTATAGTATATATTCAATGGAAAGCAAATTTCAAAAACATCCACTATTTCTCAAAGTGAAATGAGTTTAAAACTTATAAAGAGATGAGAGATACAATGGATGCGTATTATCTAAGAAGAATGCAAAAGCCACATTGTTATATAGACTCGTTACCTTCAAAATATAACAGTCTGAATATTAACACAATCCAGGAAATCCTAGAATCCCAAAATTCTACAAGATTTCCTGGAGAAGATGATAAAAATCCAAATGTATATTAATGAATGCTCTCCAAGCAAACACCAAAATATATTTCCTAATGTTCCTATATGTTGTAACCTCTCTTCTGATTTTTGTATCTTTACACAGTACTAGATAGCAACAGAAAATAAATATTGGAAAGGTAGAGAAGTTAAAAAAGGCATTGTTTCAGAAAGGGGTCTATTGTTCTGACTGAAGTTTCAGTTCAATCCTCATTAGCTGCTAAAGTAATAAAAAAAAAAGTGTGTCATCAAAAGCAGTGGCTAGTTATTGAATACAAATTCTGTAACAGTTTAATTAAAGCCCTTTACAGTTTATTAATTTCTCTTAATCAACCCCCAAATAACATGGGTGTCAGATGCGTGTCAAGCAGTTCTGTAAAAAGCCACTGCCTGTTAAATTAGCTTAAAAACTGAAAAGCATAATCTCAAACTGTTTAAGTTTAGTTTCAACTTTCAGCAGCTCTTGAGAAAGGTGACATAGAAGTCAATCTAATTTACGTACTTTGATTAGGAAATACCAACTTTCAGTAAGATGTAGATTTATTGTATATTTGAGTATTGAGACATTTTCTAGGGAACTACCTCAGCCTACAGAATTAGAAAAAGTGTGTCAGCTTAAATCAAAAAGACGTGAATAGAGAAGAACAATATTTCCAAACCCTTTTTGTAAGAAACCAATGGAAACAAACACCACCATTAGTTGAGTACACTACTCTCATCCACTGCCTCTTCCCAACTATTTTTTCCACATCATTCATTTTTGTATTTTCACATTCTTTAGGGCAGCACAATGATTCCAAATAGTGATCTTACATTACGGAACAGCAACCTACCTGCACAAACAACCTATTCTTAACTAAAGCAAACTTCAGGTCTTTCATTGGAACACACTGTGTACTGTTTGCATCCTTTAAATTTTTTCCTATTTCCCTTTAGGGAAAGGAAAAGGAAAAAGGAAAAAAAAAAAAAAGGAGAAAAGAAGGAAAGTTTTGAGCAATATTAACCCACAGCAGGAAAAAGGTTTTGTGGGCCAACTGTACAAATGCAAAGCAAAACACAGTTCAAATAAACTATGATGACAACCTGACTTCTGAATGCTAGGGAAGTAAACTATACAACCCCCTCCCCGCCGCCACCCCAAAACATCACCCATGTAAAGCATGAAAGCTTAGTTGTGTTCAATCGAGCAATAGAAAAATTTTCTGATTTAAAGTAATGAATATCTTTAAGAATCAAGCTCTTTTTCAGGATAGTAACATTTAATATCTAAACCTTACCATACCTTGTTTGGCATCATCACAAGCTGTTGTCCTTTACAAATAGAGCCCGACTCCAGCTTCCCAAGGACCACAGTGCCCATATCCTTCACAAAAAGAAATTATTTCAGAAAAATGTTTTCAATTTTTATGTAGAGTCTGCTCCATTTATGATTTAACTCTAAGTATGATTACTTAACCCTATGAAGTTATTTAGCACTGCTATACTTAAATGTTTTGGAAACTGTTCTCATGAAAGATTACAGATTTTAAGAGTCTCATATAATGCCAAAATTATTTACTTCTCCCTCCCTGCCTCTATTCTACAGTTGGAAATGTAGACATATCAAAGAAAAAAAAAAGATACCCTCTAAAAATACAGTAAGTAGTCCATTTACTGCTTTCTGAAAACAGTCCATTTATACTTTCGATCCTATTATTTTAATTTGTACCTTATATTTATCCACAATTGGCAGCCTGATTGGTCCATCAACTGAACGGTTGAAGTTTGGCAAATTATCCAGGTATGGAATAAATGGTAATCCACTAAAAGAGCAGAAGACATTTGTTTCAATTTCATGAGCACCCTTCTATTTAAAAATTACTCAGAATGGATAAATGCAGTCCAACAAAAGGAATTATTTTCATTCTGTCACCATTAGGAACAGTGACCTCCAAGACAATTAAATCTATCATAACATCCCATTATTAGTGTCCACTTCACCCTAGCTAACATGTTAATATGCAGGAAGTGCACGTAGTTTTTAAGTTATGTTACAGGCATATTTTACACAAATTACTCCTTGCTAGATGTGTAGTATGTTTTGGAAATACAAAACCATAAGCTGGGTCCAAACATGATTTTCATTAATACGTTTTAACTGCCATGAACAATATTGGAAAACATGACATCCAATGAGAGACACGGCTTCTCACTAATTATAATACAGATTCAAGCAAACTGTTCACATCAAACAATTACTCATTCTAGCAACATGTCAACTACAGTATCACTGAAAAATTCAAGGGCTAGTATGGCACTCAAAGTCACAAAGCCAAAGAATACTGCTAATACTATTACAGAGTCTGCTAACTTTAATCTTCTGCAGTTAGCAAATGCTTTTATTTGGCTCATTGCTTGGCTGAGTTCTTGGTTCCCTGATTGTATTTCCTCAAGCACTGTAGAACGCAGCCAGAATATACCACGCTATACTTCTTCCTAGCTTCACTGTAGCATTTACTTTTATTGAAATATAGCAAATATCCAAGTTGTTCAATTTAAGATACATACATATACCAAGGACAGAATTCTGACTGTTCTTTAAGGTTTGCTCCAGTCAGTCCTGAGCAGGGCATGAAATGAATATCCTTTTTGGGATTGAAGCCAACTTTCTTCAAAAATGGCACCAGTTTCTCTTTACATTCCTCATATCTATTAAAATGACAAGCAGATCAAGATAAGTTTCAATTATTCCAGCATGACATAATACTGTGCTTTAGAAAAAAAAAAACCAGCAAACCCCACAGACATTTAATTTTCATCAGTTAAGTTATTCTGTGAGCAGCAAGCCAACCTAATAAAGCTTAGTGGCCTATTTGCATCTTCTCCCCAATCTTCCAGCACAATTTGATATTGTCCATTCCCCGTCATTCCTCTGCTCCATAAAGCATCATCTGTTTTCTCCATATACCTCAATTACTGGGCTGGGTAAGCAGCAGCATATGCTATATCTGCTCTTAGCAAGAGATCCAGGCCAAGATAGCAGGACAGACCAAACAGACAGCTACTGAGGTCATGCTGCAGGCTTTCACTTTAGTGGTGGCTTGGTCTCCTTCAATCTCCTACATAATTTCCTACGACTTAATGCTGTTTATTTCTATTACAGTTCTTCCCCTCAGTCAGTTTCAGCTGAGTTCAATAATGTCAGAAGGCTGGGGCAGGACCAAGACAGCACAATTGGGCACGCCTTATTCTCTTAGTAAACCAGGCTGATGATGTAAGGTTGCATAGCCCCTCATAGCTTTCCACAAAAACTTTCACGATTCTTGACAGCACAGCAAGTTCTCAAAAAACTCTTCTTATTACACTGCAGAAGAAAACTGTATCCCGTCATTACACAAGTATCTCTAGGGAAGGACTAAGTTACACTTTTCAGCATCCAGCTTAAAGGGGTGAGAAGAAAGATGTGACAGAAGCCATAAAAAGACTTAAGTTTTGACACTTACTAAAGTGTTTTAACTTTTCTAACATTTGAGCATTAAGGCAGAAAAGAATGACTTAATCCTTTTTATTAGTTATTTAAATATTACATACTGACTTTCTAGTTATTTTTATCTGGCTTGTATCATCACAAGATTCCCTCCCTCTCCCCTTCTCAGACTGTATTCACAAACCACTTCAATATATTATTTGCTTATTCAATTCAGCTGATCATAAAAGAACAACTCCAAATAATACGGGGTGGACACAAGGTGAACAGGATAATGCTGTTCTCGACAAAACTAAGCAGAAATGTGGCCAAGCAATCAAGGATCTGGCAAACTAAATTACTGAAAATAGATTCACTTCCTTTTAGGTTCAGTATAAAGTTTCCAAGTCAACAATTAAACTATGTTAGAATGCATGGATTTGTTAGATATGCCTGCACAGATCCAAACAGTTGAAAGTGAATGTTTTAAAGTTGTGTAGAACTTCAAGCTTAGTTGAGAGGCACTGTCTTAGGCACTATGCTTCTGTTTTTCCTGCAATTTTGATAATCTCTGTCTTTAGTCCACCAGTCTACCATTCTTTCACCAAAAATGTGATGCAAAAAATTGCTTTACTTAGGAATTATTTTATTTCAGTATCTTTTAATATTAAACTCACCTTTCATTACTCCAGTTTACTGTTGGATCATCCATTTTATTAATAAGAACTATTAAATGTTTTACACCTGCTGTTTTTGCTAACATGGCATGTTCTCTTGTTTGTCCACCTTTCTCAAATCCAGTTTCAAACTCTCCTTTTCTTGCGGAAATAACCTAATTAAAAATACACATTTTAATAAAAGTTCTACAATTCTCTCAACAGAACAATTGACAATGGGTAATATTGCCTTATTAAAAAATAACTTTGGGTAGTCAAAACTGGTAAAAGCTTTCAAAATGCACTGGTATATCCTCAATATTACCCATTCGTTTCTGCACTGACATACATAAAAATCACATGACACCTGTGGACTTTTATGAAGCTGTTAAGTTACTCCAAAAACCACTCAACTTGAAAATTTTGCCTGCTGTAACTAACCAAAAGAGTAAACAAGAAAAAAAAAAAATCATTAATTCCACAGTATATCCAAAATAAAAGAATCTGATTTGTCCTTACCAGCACAGCAAGATCAGCTTGAGAAGCTCCACCAATCATATTTGGAACAAAGCTCTTATGTCCAGGAGCATCTAGAATAGTGAAGTGTTTCTTCTCAGTTTCAAAATAGGCACGACCCACTTCTACTGTTTTACCTTTGTCTCGTTCTTCTTGGTTTGTGTCTAAGGCCCATGAAAGGTACCTAGAAAAAAAAAACCAACCCAAATATTCTATTTTTGTATTAATTTTTACTAAATTTATGTATGATGATTTTTCACCATAAAATGTCTTTTTTTTTCTGCTCAACTATTCTAACCACCTCAGCATTACTGAACTTAAGCATTTCCAAGACCAATAGTGACTTTTTATTGAATGTTTTGTGTATATATAGTGAGCTGTAGTGCCCAGTGCTAGCTCTCCCTCACATACTTAGAAGGATGCAATTCTAAGAAAAAAATCTTCAATTACTAAGTTCTCCAGGTATGATCTAATCTCAAATACTTTAAGCTTTGCCTCAGTTTGAAAAACACCTCTGGATCAAATACAAAACAATTCCTCTTTCTCAGCATAATTAACTAAAAAATTAGTTCTGATTTGCACATATTCATATTATGACAACTATTATTATTAGTTCTCATTTACTTGCACATACTAAATAGAGGTTGGCTATGAAACAGACACCACCTTTATTCATCCTATCTTTGATACTTTGATCATATCAACTGTTGTCCCCTCCTAATTATATTTTATCCCATTGGCCATTGACAAACAAGTTAGATTTAGACAGAAGAACTGAAATTTCAAAAAAAGATTATTTAGCTCCTTCAGGTTTTGTGAAAATTGGTGAATAGAAAGGAGAGAAAAAATATTAATACTCTCACTAAGGAGAAAAAAAGTAGCAATAACTAAATTGAACTGCCTTTACATACCAATATTTTTCACCATTAACAGCAGCTTATAAAGAACTTTAGCTTGTCTTTCGTATTGACTGGATAATGTCTGAAAAGACACTGCTAACTCAGCTGACCAGTGATCAGGAAGGGAGCATCAGGGACTATTAAACACAAAGATGTCCTTTCCAGCTCAAGAGGTTCCTAAGTCAGAGAAAGCACTTAACATTGGGAATTATGGATATATAAACACAGTCTTCCCCAGGCAGTAGCGATTTGTCACTGAGCGAGAACTAGATAGCATGCTAGATGGCTTTTGGTTTGTACCAGTATGTGTGCTCCTATGTGTTGTAATCTTCACCACAGCCCGTGTTTCTGGAAGATTTCAGCCAAGCCAAAGGTCAGGTTTTACTCAGCTAACAAGAGTCAAACAGGAATTTATGCGTGGTAGCTGGATGGAAAAGACCTTTTTTTTTTGAAAGATGCATTTCTGACTGAAATGTCAACCCTGCACTACAGTATAGAATTTTCTGAATCACAAAGTAAAACTGTTCAAATTTCGAGACTCTCAACACGTGAAGTGAGCTAACAAGATCTTTGATAATGACACAGAGGTGCATCATACTTTCTGTTGTATATCATGACATATTTTAAAGAATAAAAATAGCATTCAAGGAGGCACTTCCTGCAACTCCCTCTCTAAAAGAGGAGAGGGAAGAGGAAATCTGTTTTTCAAGCTGTCCAGGGTTTTTGAGGAAGGTCCTGAAATATTTATTACTATGGTCAACTCCCAACAGGTGGATGATGCTTGCTCAATAAAAAGAACGTATGTCGCCCTCTCTCACACATAATACAATTAGATCAGGTCAATGCCCATCCCTTGAGTGCTCTATTGCTGCTCTACCCCTACGGAAGTCTTCAGCTGTTTCTATTCCAGAGCCCTTTGAACTCCTATTTTCCTCCACCACAGCCAAAAATGGAAAGTTTCCAAAAGGAAAATCAATTTTCCAGGAGTTGTTTGAAGGAGAAAGCAGACTGCTGTATGTGCTGTATATACACACACACATACACAAAACCAAAAACCAATCAAACAAAAGACAACAACAAAACCCAAAGCAAACAAGAGGCCCGCAAAAAAATCCACACATGACAGCAGCATCGTCTTGCCTGGAGGAAACTTAAGAACTGCGGACCCTATCTTTATTCTTATAAAAATGAGATATAAAGGTGACAGCCAAAACTATTCACTCGCTCTCTGCTCATGTCTGCCAAATGCACAGCTTTAATCTCTGTCCCTTAGATATCTCTCTGCTGTTTACAGGTGAAAGACATACAGATAGAATGACCCCAAGAGCTGCCTGAGAAAAGCATCTGCCTTGTACTCCTTTTTACCAACTAGGTTTACCAAAGCATCGGAGCAGCAAAACCTGTTCCAATGTATCGGACTGTTTCGTATAGTTTTTGTTAAAGAAGTACTGGAGGAAAACAAGAGATTCCTCCCCCCACACTCAAAACCCATTCCAGCAGGAAGCCAGTGCTATAGGGACAGAGACTAAAAAACAGTTTCCCATTTTCATTACAGTGCAAAGAGAAAAGCACACTATTATCTTCATTAAGTTCATACCATGTTTCTCTGTTTTTTTCTTTAGCTTCTCTTTCATATTTTTCAAGTGTTCTTTTGTCAACCATTCCTGTCAAATACCTAAGAAGGGGTGGAAAAAAAAATAGTGCAATTTTACATAAGCAGAAACATAGTTCCAAATAGTTAAATACTTATACAGATCCCTACAGATTATTTTGAAAAATTGGAACAGCCTGATGCGAGCAGCAGTGGATTCTTTTCTCCACAAAAAGCCACACCATTATCTGGTATGTAAAAGTACACCAGTACCACTTTAGTAGAAGTATGAGGAATGTCTTTTTTTAAACCTAATTGTAAAATGTTCTGCAGAGGCAAGTTTTGAAAAGGAACTACATCTGTTAAGTCTGTTTCTGAGACTAATCCAATATTTCAAAATTAAGTAAAAATTGTGATAGGAGAATTTTTCATATACACACATACACCATTTCTGAAATATAAAGAAAATTATTTTTGGTTTCAAGTCTTTTTAGCTAGAACAAGGAAACGGGTATTTTAAGAGAGATCTTTCAGTTATGAGAAGAAGCGAGTAGTGTACAGTTTTATTACATTAAAACTTCCATGTTTTTCCCTCAGATATTTCTACCTCTACCTGATCTTCTAGTAACAGTAATCTACTTAGCTTATAAGGAAAATTAATGATAACAGTAAATAAAGGGTTAATGACAAAGTTGGTACAAGCACCCAATTCCCCCCCTCCTCTTACAACACAGGGATATTCTGCAAAAATTAAAGACCACAAAAAGCTTTCGGAACATAACACATCGGTAGGAGTGTTAAGAATAGGCATCTCCTTGTACAAGGAGAATACTCAGACACATCAGATAAAATGCTAATTTGCTCTAGTATGAACTACAAGGTTAAATGTAGCATGACAATTCCAACATTCCAGTTTGGTGAAAACAAAACAAGATGAAAATGCCAAGACAAAGACCTCCCACTTTTGCTGAGAATATTATTTTAAAATCACAGAAATACTTTGCATCAGCAGGATAGCATTTATTTCTTCATGTACTACTTTCCTTTTTTTTTTTTTTTAAACAAACTGTATGATCTAGCTGCATTTATTTAACTTTTGTCTCAAAAATATTGCAGTCTTTAGATACTGTTTCTAAAATAGACTTAAAAGATTAACTACTATAATTTCACATTTTGAAATCAATTTATGCCTGACAATGTTAGCACCAGGGAATAAGGATATTCAATTTTTTTTTTTAATCTTCACAAAAAGGACGAAGTTTAACAAAGCGTATAAAGCAGTTTCAAATAGCATTTTAAAATGACGAAGAAAAACAGAGTCATGTTCTAAGAAAGGGATTCAGTTTTTTTAATTTACTACTGTATGCTTTTGCATAATTGTTTCCATTACGTAAGTGAAACTCCTATAGCAGTAAGATTATATCTGCTGGAATTAAGACATTCCAAAGTCAGTAAGTAACTAAATTGACAGGGAGAGTAACATTTTATTATAAAAATATTAATCTATGCTGATTAAAGCCATAAAGAAAATATTATTCATTTTAATGTATTTTTAATTCACAAGAAAGAACAGCAAATCTAAAAATTTTAAGATTTTCCTTACATTATTTGTCCTCCAATAGTTGACTTGCCAGCATCTAAAAAAAAAAAAAAATTTAAGTCATTCACAATTTGAAAGAAAATCCTAGAAAAAGAAGAAAACAATTATGAACATCTAATTTATTTCCAAAGATATATTTTTTAATTGTAATCTAAGTTTTTTGAAGCATCTCTCAGCTTCCCTTGTTTCCATAATAATTAATTGTCAATTCAATTACACTGAATTTTGAAAATTCTATTTTCATACATATAAACTTGGCATTATGCATTAAAAAAAAAACCTCAACAAGCAGTGATCCAGCAAAAGTGTGGGTTAAGAGTGTGGGAAGCTCTTGCAAAAGCCCTTTCTCTGCTTCCTTGCTCCCTTGTCCCTAACTTCTGCAGGCTGCTTTTCAATATTGGGATGTACCTCTGCCCACTGCCTTTTTACTTTGTGTGACTCCATCCTGAATTTATCCGAGGACTAAGTTACAGTACTTAAGGTGATAAGAGACTATAGAAAAGTACTAAAGAATTTACTGTAAAACTTGTGATTCAGTAATTCTTCTGTACTTTTGACACCACTTAAGATTTTTCTGAAGCTTGTTGAAACTATTCAATTGGGACATTTTACTATAAATGCTTCTTTTAACCCTGAACTTTGTTAATCTATTGTTTACAGCTCTAGAATTTTTAATATTTTGAATAATAATTTTTGAATTTAAAAACAATTAATAAGAACCCTCTGAAAATATTTAAAACAAGCAGAAAAGGAACACTGCCTTCTGATTTTGTTCTTTGGATCATAAACACAGATATGTCACTTAAGCACTCAATAGAGCAGGTACTTGAGAAATCACGAACATGGACACTGTTGTGTCCAAGAGAACACAGGCACTCTAACCTTGGCACTCTACCCCTGAAAGACCTTCTTTAAGTTTTTTAATTTTTCCAGAGCAGCTTCATTAGAATGAATGCTCCTATTAACCTCAAGACTCGGTGAATACATACATCCCTACAAAGAGCAGGATTAATTTCTAATCCTCAAAGTTCTAGATAATACACGACACAAAGATCCAATTAATTCACATTCACTTACAACTTACCTACGTGCCCAATGAATACTACATTTACGTGCTCTTTTTTAGGAGCACCTGGCGGTGCTACAACAGATTTCGGTTTTGGTATTTCCTCCTCCTCTTCCATCATTTCCTGAGCGCTTTCTTCAGAAGGCCCTGCATCCCCTGCGGGACCACCTCCTAGCTCTGCTTCACTTGTTTCTTCTTTGTGGTCCCATGATTCTTCTGGGGACATTTCTGTCTCTCCATTTTCCACTAAAAATTAACCAGTTATATATATTCAAATAGATAATGAAATTAAAATCAATGAATATGGAGAAAAGCCCCTGCCCCGAAGATGCAATCAAAAGACTACAACTATCCAGTCTGTTAATGTCTTCCTATATAAAAATGGGCAACCGCTGATTGCTTCTGAAATGATTATTACCAGGAGCTTTCAAACTAGCTTGTGTGCTGACATCGGAAAACTATGATTCACAGGGATTAAGAGACTTCTGTTTTAGCAAGGCAACAATTTTACAAGATAAAAACAAATCTGAAGATCCACTCAGACCATCATGCTGGTCTGAATCCACCGACAGACACATACTACCATATGTTTAGAAAGAAAAGGAGAGGGATAATGGTTTAAGTTCTCCCAAAAGCCATACAAATACAAGGAGAAAGATACAACTTCCGTGTTCTGATTGCTCGTATTACTGATCACTTTAATGTTTTTTTGTTAATTACATTTCACACATATTAATGGTACTACTTTGAAATACGAAATTATTTTTTAATAAAGCACTGATGTTTTTTCAGTGTCCAAGTAATACAATTGCACCTGTCAATGCATACTAGTGTTCAATTACCTCTTTCCTAATCTAAATATAAAGACACAACGAAAACTACTAAGGACCAAAAATGCAAAGGTTCAATAAGGTATTATTCAATTTTGTTTGCAATGATTCAGCAAAAGCACTATAGTAGGCTTTTATAGTACTATCATAGTGAAATGGAACAATTCTCATCTTACCAACAGATTCTGAAATTTCCATGTTAACAGCAGCATTTGAACCTAGGGAAAAGAAAAAAAAGGAATCATTAAGGACACATATTTACCATGATAGTATCAAGAACAAAGAAAAACGGAGTGACTAAATTAATAAAAGGATAGTTCAGATGTTTGGGCACTTGCCAATGCTATTTAATATACAGATTCAATTTTTTAAATTCTGCTTCATGCAAGCTTTATGACCTTCAATAAACCACTTGGTCTTTATGTGCCTTGCTCAAATGGCTATAAAATTGTACATAACCACAGATAACCACGCTGCCTTAAAATAGTGGTATGAAGGTAAAGAGAATGAAGATTGGAAAAGGTTCATAGAGATTTTTAAAAAGGAGATTCTTTGTAATAATTTTTTTAAAACCATGTTTAATGGATCTGCATTGCATACCGTCAGAACAGAAAACAATTACCTTCACAAGAGGCTGTCTGCTCCTCTGGAGAAGTCTCTACAGGTGCACCTGCAGAGAAAAAAGTTTACCTTTTAAAATACACTGATGTAACCAATTTCCACACTTAGGCATAAAAGACCATCTCCCAGCTTTATTGCGAGAAGTGTATTTAAGAAAAAACACCTCCTCTCCCCCTCCCCCCCAAACAGTACTAAATATAGCCTCCAAGCACAAATACTTCTAAAGAACACTGCCTAAAAGCTGTGAAAATAATACACCAGTTCTAAAAACAGTTCAGTTTTTTTCCCCACAAGGAAAGATATACTTAAAGCAAGGTTTAAAGGCAGCAATTTTTCTATACATAGTATTTTATCTGCCCATCCTTTTTGGGCATGCTGGCTATTTTAAGTGTTAGTATCTAACTGGTGTTTAAAAGTGTCAAACCAGTTTAATTGTATCCAAAGAAACAATGTGTGTGTGGTGTCACAACTGTACGGAAAGGTTCTGCCAGTTTCAGCTTATAGGCATACCTACAATGCTATTGTTCCTCAATTTTACTTAAGCATTGAGTAGAAAATTGAAACAAGCTATTAAAAATAAATTCTTAAGATCTTCTGTAGTTACTAGGGTCAAGAGATGATAAACTCATTCACACGCCTGGTAAGTTTGCCAATCCTCTTAAACACCATAATATAGTCACATTACTCGGAGGGCAATCTCACCAGTCATGTGCATATCAAAGCCACAAGGATGTTTTTTGGATAGATCACTCAACCTTCTCGCACACTAAACCATAGTACTAAACTATATGCTGAGGTGTAACTAATTATTAAACCTACTAAGAGTGATACGTTCCAATTAACAATTACACCAGTCGATGTTTCAGGACATTATTCCACATGATGAAGGGCCCTTCTATAATTATCCCTAAAACCTTAACCTATTTAGTTTTCTCTTGGTATAAATTCAACTTCATAATTCTTTGAAACAAGTTCATTATCTTATATTTTTCAGCCACATACCAAATTCATACCCTCTATTTAGCTGTACTCCAGCTCTCCTTCAATCCCATTTAAAAAACACAGATCTTGGAGCATTACTTGCTCTATATGCATGATGGGACCTAAAGATAAAACAAATCCCCTCAAAAGAACAAAAACATACAGAGAAGGACCTGATTCTAAGCCTCTTTGCTTTCACGCTGTTTGTGTATTTGCTGCAGACTTCTATAAACTGGAGCAGTGCTGCAAAAGCTGGAAGAGGGCCAGCGGACAAAGCTTGCAGGCAGGGTGAATGTGGGTCACAGCACAACACCCAGTGACCAGCAGCAGTGGAGGGGGCACAGCAACACAGAAGAGGAAACTGTTCTGAGCCCTACGCTCCTGTGTTATATCATACATGATCTGCACTCCAGGGTGCCAAAATCACAGGAACAAAACTTTAGAGAATGATTTAATATAGTAAGTAAAAGTATAAAAATAGAATACCTTAAGATTCCTTGTAAGAAATGATATATTACTCCCATTTGAGAGCTGGAAAAGACTCACATCAGCCCATTTACGAGTGTGGTAAGCAGGTGGCACAGAATCGAGGTATGAACCTAAAGCCTCCGTTTTGTAACACATCAGAAGACTGTTGGCTATTTCACACATGCTATGCTTGGGATGCATAAATATTTTCATTACAAGATAATTTCAACAAGCTTTTGATTTCACTCCTGAAGTTTGTCGATAATGAAAAACATATTAGACGAGTATTTATGCACTTGCCTTGAAACAGAAGCTCTCCAAGTGGTTGAAGAGTTATTTAACTCCTTAGAAATACATTGCCAATCAACAGGATTCATAATAAACTCAGTTTTTACTTTCTGGTCTGTAATACAGCAGGCATACAGACAGGAGAAAGAAGTTTCTTCACAAATAACAGCCCTAGTGCATGTATAACTATTGAAGCTCCACAGAGGGAGCTGGTCTGACCAAAAACTGAACTAGCAAAGAACCTACCAGCTTTCGGGTGGATTAGCACTCTGAAGCAACGTATGAGGTGGGTGGAAAAGCACTACTTGTGCCATGGCAGAGAGGACAGAAAGGCAATCTCAGAAATTCAAGGAAAAACACTTTACCTTTAAGTTTCACTTCTGAAACACCTAGGGAATCTTTGGATCACATGAAAAGGAGATGACAATCCTGAATCTAGTTGAGATTGGCTTACTACCTAGGACTCAATACTGGATTAGGACATGAGAAGAAGTCTAAACTCTGCACTGTCCCTGTGGCAAAATGCTTGGACAAATCCAGTGAACTGAAGTAACTTTGCTTATTTTGCCCACGAGATAAAGACATTGTAACAAAATACTTTTAAAGGTGAAGTAAACTGAGAAAGGTTGTAAGTAGTCCTTGTTAACTTATCCTGATCTCTCCAAAACATTGAAGTAGGTACGCGAAGTTTTTCATTTTTTGTTTTCTGGAAGTCAGAAACTAACAACATTTATGGTTAACATAGTTTACTATTATTGTAAAAACATCACATACAGCAAATTAAACACAAATTGGAAAAATCTGTAACACATTTCAAGGTCAGTTTGAGAATTCTAGGTCCTCATCTGAGAAAATCATTCAGATAGGAATCTTGTCATGAGAGGGATTCAAAATGTAGTTTCTATGAAATCTGGTTTTAAAGTCAGAACGTGTCTTAAATGATGCCAAATCTTTAAGTAATGCTTCAAATCCTTGGATTTACACACGATAAACAACAATTAGATTTTACATAGCATCCTCCATCTCTCCTCAAACTGTAAGTCAAGAACTGTTGTTGCAACGTTATTCACTGTACTACATGAGGTGAGCTGTTTATCTTTAGTCCTCTTGAACATCAGAGCCCTAGGACGTATTTCGGAATATCTTTGTTGTCAACGCCAAATGCAAAAACGGATACACATGCTGCATTTATCTACTGGTAGATCATCAGACAAGGGCACTATGTAATTCAGAGTCTTGTCTGAATAAGGTAAAAATTATTTTTCTTTTTTTTTTTTTTTAATATAAAATTCACTGGAGGAGCATGCATGTTCCCAATAAAGAGTCCAAAATTGCACAACTTTTAAAACATGGTGATTGGTCTCTTTAAAATACAGCTAATGTTCTAAAGCAATACTGCAAGACTCCAATCTGCCTATGTCATTCACACGGCATTCTACTACAGCTGATGAGTTTGTTGCATATTACATCAAGTTTTGTACTTGCATGCATTTTTCTTGTACAATAACTAAAGCTGCACAAGTAGAACAAATTAAAAATTACCATTCAACTCTGAAAATATTGCTTTAAAACAGCATAAGCCAGGAACTTCACAGCGTTAACAGTTTAGAATGCTTGTACAGAAACAATAGAAAATTGCTTTATAATTAAATTTATATCAGAATGAAAAAAGATTATCATATATAGAACAGGTATAGCTGGTAAACCGGGAATCAATATTAGAAAAACTACAGTTAAAATACAGCATTAAAGTCAAATTCAAGTACTAAGCAGCAATGACAACTTCCATCTTTACGTTGCAGTATTTACCAGATGCACAGAATACGCTGAGAGATGTCTCCGCAGAAGCAGATACTACTATTCAGCGGTTAACTAAAGGTAACAGAAGCAGTTACCTGAGCCACAATGCAAATGCCTTCACAGAACTGATCAGAGGCCATAATTTGTTGCTATGCGTGGCAGCACTCACAGCTCCCAGCCTGCTCTGCTGCTGGAGTGGTAAGAACCTAGACAGTACTGGTACCTGACAATTGAGTAGCCTATGGGGTTAATGAAACTGTTTGCACAACAGAGCATAGAGAGAGATTAAAAAAAAAAAAAAGAAAAAAAAGAAAAAAGGCAAATTCGGTTTGAAAGAAGCGTCTTATCTATAAAACTTAGATGGTCTGTACAGTGAGTTTGTTGTTGCTCCTCCAATACAGCTATCAAGTTCCTTCACAGGAATTCCTGGAAGGCTGAAGAGTGAAGAAATACACAACACCCACCTTAGGATTCCCATCACCTTTTCATATGTGTGTTTTGAATACCTGAATTCAGTACACATTTACACAACAGTCATATAGTCTCAACAGTTTTCATAAATTACATAACAGATGTTTGCCCCCTTTTTTTCTTTGAAACGAAAGCATAAAGGGAATTACACCAGAGTAAAAAATAAAGGTCCGAGTCAAACACACAGAGCATGAGAATCAGAATAAAAAAAACCCCAAGACATTCTTATTTAACAAAAAACCACAAAAAATTACTTTAAGCACAAATAAGTGCTAGAGCTAAACAAAGTATTTCATATTCAATATTTTAAAATATACAGAAAGAAAAGGTTTTCAGGAGTTCACTGTAATTAAGGCAGTTGTTTTGAAAGTTAACTTTAACCCAAAATTATTTTCTTCTTGTCTCTGCCCTGCTTCATAGCCTATGCTCTAGCTTCACCAGTGGACACAGAGATGTATATCCAGTTTTTAAAATGCACCAATGTAAGAGCAGCTTTAATAGTTTTACCATGACTTCGTAAAATTCACAAAAAAATTAGCACTTGCTTTGTATTCATAGGATTTTACTACATTGTTAACTTAGTAAAAGATCCACCTTTTTCCTTCTACAGTAAGGACACACCTTAAGTTTATCTTATCTAAAACCGACATGCTTCTTCACAACTAAGTCTAAGAAAGCTTATGGGGATTTTCAGAGAATATAATGAAAAACCCTCTTCCTTAAAGCCAAGTATTTGTGTGCAGTTGGTAACTTGATTTTAGAGACAGATAGTAAAAAAATCAAGCTCCGTATTAGACCAGTTAAGGATTCCACACTCTAACAAAGATCTCTCATAAACCAGTAGGAATAGAAATGAAAAACAAACAAATAAACAAAACAAAACACAACCTAAGCACCCCATGGATTTTTTCAGCAGGTTAAGCTCAGGATATTAACATTTACACATAAAAGAGTAAAATTTACACATAAATTCTCAGACTGTTCTAGACAACACATTTTTAATATTGCATCACCTGTCCTAAACCAACTTTTTTGTACTGAAATTCAATCAGTGTCATTTTCATATAGATCTCTTCAAAACACAGTCATAAATTTCACTGATTAAATTTTGACTGCTTTATTTCTTCATAATAAAAAGCCAAAATAAAACCATTTTTCTATCTCAGCTTCATACAATCAGCTGCTTCTTTTGCTTGTGTATCTCTCATCGCAAAATAGGAGAGAAATCCCAAAGTTCTGAAAATGGAATTGGAAAACCAGATTGCTAATATAATCCAAGAATTATCCCAAATTATTTTCGTGTTCATTTTGATAGAGCAATCAAGTTTTAAGATAACATCATGCTTTCAAATACGTTAAATCAGTAGTCCAAATCAGGGTGCTAAAAACATGGTCAGCAGACTGCACGTAGACTCCAGGACAGTTCATCTAGTCCACAGCCGGCTCCCAGTGGTCTGTCTTTTATTGGAGTCATGCAAAGGCCACAAGCATGATGAATTATTCTAACAGGAGCAACACAATCCTGGCTACCTTCCTGGGGACAGTTCAGATGTAGACAAAGGACATCTGTGTAATACATTGGCACCTTGACTGCACGACACAGGTATATTATATCTGATCATCTAGCAAGTCAGTGCCAAGACATACAGCCTTTCTCTGCACTGACCATTTTAAAAGAGGTTGTGCAGCTCATCATCTAGAGAAGCTGATACAGAAGAACACTGCTCTAGATAGTCAAGTGATGACTCAAATAAGATTTTTTTGATAATAAGAATTTATACCATATACTGGCATTCACAATACGACACTGATTTGCTGTCATGTAAGCAGTTCAAGTTTACAGTTATGAAGTATTAACAGTAGCGTTACCAACACCCTACTTGTGAGGAAATCATCAGCATGTGGCTATTCAAATGTCGATATGAGTAAACCATGCAATCCTTTAATATGATAGCTTCTTGAATGGTGGACTCGTTTTAGACAAACAAGACCTTCTTAGCAGGTTTGTATGCAAAGTGAAGTCTCCTAAGGACTGAAATTATTGAAGAGTCTCAAAATAGAGTCTACAGAGAATGGTGTAAAACAAGAGATGACCAGTTTTGGGGAACACAATGATACAGATAACTCATCATCCTACTCTGGAAATGATAGGCTTCAGAAATGAAGCAGAAGATCTTGAAACTCCTTCTTTTGTTTCTGATTAGGGGCGGGGGGAGGGAGGGGAATACATGGATGCCCCAGCTAGCTACAGGTCAAGAAAAACAAGGGCAGGGAAAACCAGAAAGATAGGTGCTATCTCCATTTATTTACAGCATTTGAAGGCTGAGGATGTCAAGCTGCTTGAACATAACTATTTCAAAAGTTACTACTGCAGGGGAGTGAGGATATTTAGGGAGTGAAGCAATCTAAAGGGCACTGAATCTTAAGCCAGATGTTTGCTTGGCTCAAGACTGTAGGTGCAAGTTGTCTAAACTGTAGTCGTTAACAAATATGTTCAGGAATTTACTTGAAGTGGTCAAGAGAGCTATTAAATGAAGCAGTAGCACTAATACCACCACAAGGATAAA